GTCAAAATTGGATGATCCATTCTAAATTGAATACCTCAATTAATTGTGAGACCTTAAAAATTAAGAAGCATAATGGATAGTATAAAAGAATTGAATGGCGAAGCTTTGAGAAATTGTTGACCTGGTAAACATTAGGTGACCCAATTCTAGTTGGAGACCTCAATTGAATATGGGCTCTTTAAAACTAGGGAGCTTAGTGTTATATAGAGGATTATTGACTGCAGATGGCCTCATCCTCCAACAACGGTGGCTTCACCCCTCTGTCGCCAGCTAACTCCTACTCCAGCGCCACTTCCGCTCCCTCCGGCTCCTCGTGCTTCAACGCCTTCAATCTCTGGATAATTAAGCGCCTCCTTTCATAGCCTCCTCCTCCAACATCACTAACAAAAATTTTACACATCAAAACCTAGGGTTAGCGTTCGGCTTTTGTGTATATTTTTTTTTTTGTAAAACAGAGCGCTATGTAACGTTCTGAAGTGAAATAAGAGAGTGGCTAATTAGCTAGTTGTCACTCCATTCTAAATACACATAGTATGAAATAAAATTTCTAACTAATGAGACTAATTTGATATTTCAGATGTTGACATATTGTTTTTTATAAATTTTACCGAATTCACATCAAAGTTTTACTTAGAGCAATTTAATTAATTTAAAATGGAGGGAGTACTCATGTACTCGTGTATTTGATTGATATAACGGAGGATCTACTCATGTACTCGATGAACCGATTGATATATTTGATGTTTCTTATATGTATTTAATTGATAGCCTTTTATTCTCTATTGGTCTCTTATCCATACGGAGTGCACTATTATATGGAATGCTTAAACTTTGCAGGGCTTCAACATGAGTGCCAAAATTATGGAGAAACGTTGGTTAATTTTCATTTTGTAATATTTCTGACACTCAATATTTTTTTAGCAAAATCATGTCCAATTTTTTCGTCAATCCATAATTATTAATGATTATTTATGGTTGTGCTCATTGTACTATAGTGTGACACCAGGCAATCAACTTTGTGATTTCTATTTAATTTCCAAACATGAATGTAGGCAAGGAACTAAGCATACCCATGGTGTAGCGACAGCAGACTAGGTGTGTGCCACAAGGTTAACCTCACTTGTAAGAAGATCTGCGTAGATCTTCAGGAGGACTTTCTGGAGTGGGCGATAAGTATTAATTCAACTTGTGTTGTGGCTGATGAGTTGCTCACGTATATAAAGTTGCGCCCAAAAATGTCAAATTGTTATTTTCTTTTAATTATGCTCAACACATTCCTTGTTGGGCAAGGGTCGACTTCATGCTTAGGGCGAACCTGTCTGTAGAGGTGGCGGGCACATTTCAGTTTATGATGGCCTTGTTAAAAAAAATGGCATACCTTTGAGTTCAGTATTTCAGTGGTCCTAGTTGGATACAGATTGCAATAGAGTTAAGGATGGAAGCTGGGAGGGAATGTGTTCTTACTATATCTTGGCAAAGTAGATGATACATACGATGTCTATCTATGGTACGATGTCCCCCAGCTGCGATAACAGTTTCCGTGCTGATGCCGATGTCCTACGCGTGTATTGTATTGTCACTTTATTTTTATTTTATTTTTTGAAGTCGTACTGGTACTTTATTGAACATATATGTCGTATGCGGTTATTATAGTGTTGTGTGTAAGTTTCAAACATTAGAAAGTTGTTAAACTAAAATGTGTTCTTAAACTACGCTATATATGATTCTACGATACTACTATTACCGCTAAACTGAAAAATGTTATCAAGACAACCAAAAACGCTGCCATGGCAACACCTTTTCTTTTGGCTTGACATAATATACAACTGATGGGCGCCAACGAGTACCTGCGGCTCCGGGTAGAAATATTATTAGCGGCGGATAACATGGAAAATGCACAGGAGCACCTGGGTACTCCACCCCTCTATACGAAATTTAAATTTATAAAATACCAGAAAATTCAAAAAAATCTAAAGTCTTGGGATCTCAAACTTGGATGCCCAATCTACTCATGTATGAAGCTTCATAGAAAAATACAAGGAAATGTATCCGTGGTGAAGATAATACAGTCCGAATTAAAATCCATCCAAACATTTTTTTCTATTCATAGGGATTTTTTTGTCTTTCGTGCCGCGGATACATTTCCTAGTATTTTTTCATGAAATTTCACATGAAAGTAGACTGAGTACCGATGTTTCATATCCCAAAACCCTAGCTTTTTTTAATTTCTCGATATTTTTTAAACTTAATGTTCATATAGGGGTGTGAAGCACCCAGATGCTACAAATCCTATTCCCGAATAACACATCCGTCATTGCTACAAGGTTAGTAATGGTGGGTGGTTAGAAAATCTACAGCCGGGCGCCCCGTACCAGCCTCAAACCCCAGGCAGCCCGCCTGGTCACTGACCGGTCATGATTTTTTTTCACCTAGACGGGCCCCTCAAACGGCCTCAAATGCCCAGGCTGACCGGCACCCATCATATCCAGCCCAAATATGGGGCGGATATGGGGCGCCCGGGCGCGTCTGCCATGTCGGTCTGACAGCGGGATCCCACGCGAAAACGTCCGGAAACTCGGCGGTCCGACAGACCCCGCGTCCGCCGCTGCGGTGTGAAAGTCGCGTGGCGCCGCTCTGGCTCGCCGCCCGAGACCAAAATTCGGCTATTGAAGCCAGCCGACGTCCCGCAACCCTAACCCATCCACCTCCTACTCTCCGCGCTTTCAGTCCGAGCCCATCCACCACCTCCCTCTCCCGCTCCGGCGCTCTGCCCATGCTCCAGCGCTCCACCGTGGTCTGGAGGAAGATCACCTACTACGTAATGCTCACGTCGGAGCGTCGATATGAGATCCAGCCGGAGATATGGGCGAGACAGGCCACACGCGGGCTGCCTCCAGACTCGCCGGAGCCGGAGGAGGAGCAGGGAAAGAGGAACTGGCACTGATGAAGGTGGAGGAGGGAGAGCAGCCGAAGTCAAAGTTGCCGGATTTCAACATGGAGCAGGTGGAGACGGAGTTTGCCTTCGCCCAATCAAAAAAAAATGGCGAAGGCCTATGTGAAGGCCAGAATCTATCGATGATAGTCTCCTCCCAGCCACACACCGCACAGAAAACTCCAGACTTGATTCTTCGTCGATTAAGTTCCATGCCGACAGCCAGTTCATTACATCGCATGCGTCATGCATGTATTTTAATCTTGTTCTACAGATCAGCAGACCACAGCCCATCCCAACTTTTATGATCATCCATTGATGAGGATCCCGTTGCATGTGCCATTTTGGCTGCCTTGAGCGACATGCCTAGATGATATGTCGAGCGGACTGTAAAGTGCCGGTGAAATTCCAAGCCCTGTAGTCCTTTTTCCCCTGCCCATCGAGGACAATATTTTTGATATCTGCAACGTTTCCTTCAGAGAACACCCGGTTCAGTTTGTCGACATCCCACCCAGAGGATTGTAACTTTAGGAAATTTGTCACTTTTGTCAAGTTTGGGACGAACAGAACACCCAGTGGTGCCATGCTCCCGCCCCTGGGAATCCAATTACTATGATGTACATTGATTGTAGAGTCGTCATCTACTCTCCAGACCAACCCTCATGTGATAACAGATCCCTCCCATGCATTAAGCTTCTCCAAGTAAATGAGCATCCTTGTCGACAAGGAGTAGCTAGTATATATGTTGGCTATAGATGATGTGGTAACTTTATATAGCCGGTTGTTGGCTACACTATTAACCATACTCTTAGGCTAGTCATAGTGAGAAGTAATTTAAAC